AAAAAGAAAAAAAAAAAAAAAAAAAAAAAGCCGACCCCTCCCGTTTTGTGACATCTAGCTGGTCCGGTCATGTCAGTTATTTCTGGCACGACCACTGGTTTGGCGATGGTCCCCTTTCGGGCATTATTGATGGTGGTCGGCTAACATCAGTTCGTGTGGAGTATTATTTGGTCAACGGTCAGTGGGATCGAAACAAGCTAGCTGAGGATATTCCTTTTGAGTGGATCGATAGGATTTGCTCGGTCCCAATCTCTGGTGCTTCGGGTGATTTGCCCATTTGGAGAGCTTCTTCGGATGGCAAGTTTTCCTTGACCTCGGCTTGGGCCTTGATACGACAACACCATACCCCTACCCCTCTTCTTCGTATATTTTGGGGATCTTGTCTTACTCCTACAATTTCTATCTTTCTTTGGCGTCTTCTTCTTCAGCGTCTTCCAGTGGATACCAAACTTCAGTCTCGAGGCACCTCTCTTGCCTCGAGGTGCTATTGTTGTCCAGATCCATCTATCCCTGTGTCGAGTCTTGTATCTCTGTCTGTCGAGTCTCCTTCTATTGAGTCGATTGATCATATCTTCGTGGAGAGCCCGACGGCTAAGAGGGTATGGCATCATTTTTTCTATCTTTTTGGCTATACACCTGCACACACTACGCACATACCCCAGATTTTACTTTATTGGCAGCACTTCACTTCGCACACACTCACACACCACACACACATCACAACCATTGTGCCTTGCTTGATCTTGTGGTACTTATGGATTGCAAGAAATGATAGCAAGCACAAGGATATCACGGTTCGTGCTTCTTCCATCATTTACAGGGTCATCCAGCACATCAGGATTCTTCACCAAACCAAATTACTTTCGGCGGACAGCTGGACTGGCATTCCCCACGTGGCTGAGTCTCTTGGCCTATATTACCGAGTCAGAACACCAACTCTCACACCTCATCGAGTTGTTTGGCTTCCACCGGATCCGGGTTGGGTGAAGCTAAACACAGACGGAGCCCGTAGAGCATCCACCCAGATTGCAGCTATTGGCGGGATTATCAGAGGTTCGGACGCTGAGGCCATACTTGCATTTCACGAGAGGATCTCTGCCCCGAGCAGTATTGCAGCCGAGCTTGCTGCCCTTGCCTCGGGGCTGCGATTTGTTATTCAGAGGCAATTCACTAGAGTTTGGATCGAGCTTGACGCAGAAGTCGCTGTTCGACTTCTTTCGCACACGGACCAAGGTCATTGGAGTCTTCAGAGTTCTCTCACGGTGATCCGGAACTCTCTTTCTACTTTGGAGTACAGGATTACACATATCTACCGGGAGGGCAAATACAGTAGCTGATGCATTAGCTAACTTGGGGTGTCAGACCGAGTTGGCTCGTACCTTCACAACAGCGGAGCTTCCCCGACCTATTCAGCAGATGATTCGGATGGACCAGCTTGGATATCCATCCTTTCGACGACATTCTCGCACATAGGTGCCATGCATTCCAC